GAGGCCAATGATCGGCAAAATCACATTAAATGGTTTCCGACAACAGATTTGTCCGTATTTTCTGAAAATCTTGCGAATAATGGCATCGAATCGGAGACCAAATTCATGGAGAGATTGAAAGAATCCAGAGTTCTCTGAGTGTTGAGTGGAATCGCAAATATATTCTGACACTAAATGCAAAAATTAACAAAAAATATATTTAAATACTTATAAACTTTTGTCGCAATTATAATGTCAAACAAACCACATCTCCTTTTGCGGTAATAACTTATAACAAAACCAGAAATAATGAACAAAAGAAGTGCCAAATAGACGAATGCCATACAAATCCACATCCCATTCACTCCCCATACCGTCCATTCAATATCCGGTTCGGGATATGAATGCTTTTGAAAGGGACAGACGGCTGGACAGTCGGCGCAACTACAGGGCTGATTGGAGTACCCAGTGGGTGCTGCTTTACAAGACCACGGCGTTTGATTCATTGGTTTGTGTCCATCGATAGTCTCATCGGTGGTTATGTGAAAGTTGATCTGAAAAGGTGACGGGTTTTTGGTGCCGATTGACTCAACCCACCGGTCGGGCGAACAGTGTTCGGCCCCATAGTTACCGCACAACGGCTTTATAACTGTGGAGCCGAACGACGGCGCCTGTACTGACACACACGAGTTGTAGGCGTTATCGACGTACGTACGGCTCATATAATAACTCAATTCTGTGAGCATTTGCTTCTTTGGATCCGTTTCAGCGGTCGCAGTGGCCGTCACTTTGAGGAACTCCCGGTGATTTGGATGGCACGACATGTGGATCAGTATTTTGGCAAAATTAACGTAACACGAGGGACACCTTCTCGTGAACGCAGCCTTTTCTATCTGTCCGCTCATCAGAAGTGACGCCTGGTCGTCGTCGCAACAAAATACCGGCTTATCCCCTGTCAGGCAATACATTATAGTTTTAATGTATGTTTGTAATCTTGAATAATTTTTCTCTTTTATAATAGTCTGTATAAATACCTTTAAAAAGTTCGGGTACAATTTGTCTCAACACATCTGAGTTGGTTTCGTTTAAGGGTTTAGGTTTGCCGTCAACTACTTTGCCGTCCACTACACAGGGTATTGGAAATTGCATTGGAGTTGGATTTGTCGCGTTGAATATCCCGCACTGACCCCGATATAGACATTGAGTGGTCACTAATTTACACTTCAAATGCAATATTCAGTTAATTATATTTGATAATAATATTTACCGGTAATACATTTACTAATTTTTACAGACCTTTATAAATAAAATCAGAAATAAGATATAACAAATTTTTGACATAATTACACTTTTAAATTGCTATAATGTTTAGTTTTGATATTTGATGCAACACTTGTGGTCACAGAATTTGATTGATGCTTAAGTTATGACATAAATAAGTGAAGGAATGAGAACTAGAATCCAGTGTTTTATAAGTGAAATGATAGAGAGATTTAAATGAAAATGTATTTAATACTGAAAATGAACTTGATTTTAATTTTCGACGGCTGTACTCCAAATTAATATCAACCTTTGGAAAGGTGGAGTGGGATGGAAGGGGAGGGGTTAGGGTTGTATTAAATAATTTGATAAGTATTTGAATTGTGTTTATCAGTGTCTATATACAATAGTCACTTTCGGGTCTATAATTATACAGTATAATATTTAAATCAATTTTTCTAAAGCCTGGATTTTGCGATAACTATGAATAAAAGAGTTGGCAACAAAACTGATTTTGAGGTGAATGGGTATACAAATGAATGATTATTTGCCACACAATTCATAACTGTATGAACAATTTTGAATGCATGCTTTGCGAGTCATCGAGTGTATAGAATCAGAGATAATTAGTAACCGATATATTGTATCAATGATTACAACCTACTACAGTACAGTAATAGTATGAGTATTTCTACTATTAAAAAGGTAATTTGTGCTCAAATAACAGAATAATCACATGTTATCTCACTATTGAAATATTCATTCCCAATAACCCTTGTTATCAATTATGACAATTAAAATGTTTTAGTGGTTATAATAACTCAATTCTTTGGCCTTTAAAATAACGGTAATTCGCAATAAGTGTAATATCAGTAATAAAGGGGAATTTATATATAAATCTATGTAAAAATTAACATGATTTTAGCATGAGTAGACAATGTGGGCAAAGCCATCGAGTTAAGGTATTTTACTTGTTCAGATTTTAAAATTACATAAAACGAAATATACGAAAATATAGATAACTTATAACGTTTTGAAATGCCTTTATAAATAAAGTTATACCACAGTTCATAGTGTAGTGTTTAGTACATTATATAAGCGATTATTTTTCTTATCAAACAGACTATTATTCAGTCACAAAATTATCATATGATTAACAAATGTTTGCTTTAAATGTCAAACAATTTTCAATGTAATTTTATTAATTCTACTAGCTTATAGACTTATGTTAATAATATTATGTTTACTGAGAATTGCAATATTCATTCCCAATAACCCAATACCAATTATGATAATTGAATGTATTTTTTGTTTCATTAACATATAATAAGATTAATTAATTTGTATATAAAATAATAGTTTATTTTACAATAAATTACTATTTCTAAAATGATTAAAATAATGTATTAACAATTTATAAATTATTATACGGTTTTCTTAAACTAACCAAATTTTATTTAAGTTTATTAAATAAAAAAGTTATTTTATTCAGTATATAAGTAATGAAATTGTTATCAAAAAATAACCTTTTCCATAAAATTATCATATGATTAGAATTAGTGCTGATCACTTAATTTGTTAAATGTCAAACATTTAAATTATATAAAAATTTGTAACATACAATTGTTGTAAAATTATATGATAAATTATAAAATGTAAAGTTAAGATTATAAAATGATTCTGTAAAATTAAATAAAGCATAAAATAAATTCTGGTATTCAATAGTAATTATAAGATTAAGTGTCTATTTCATTAAAACTTTAAATCAAAACTCATAGATATTACAAGACATATACTAAATGTGGGAACAAATTAAAATAATACTAAATCATACTATATAAGTAACTAAATTCACTATATTTATAAGTATTCACTATTATTTAAATAATCAATTATCATGTGCTGCAAGTTATAAGTACCGTAAAGGCTTTTTCATTGTAAATTAATTGCCTAATCATTTATTTGAATTTTATTAACAACTAAGTAATGTTTATTTCAATTTATTTATATCATCGTAAACATAACATTTCATTTCAAAAAACATTTTACAAAAACAAAAACAATTTTATCAGATATATAAAATTTTATTTTATTTTTACACAAAAACCTTATTGTATTTTACCTATCATAATATTACACTAAATATTAAACGTAAATATAATAAAACGTCTGATTATTATATAAATAAATAGCAATAATTATCATACGAAATAATAAATAGTTTAATATATTTAAAATATTCTTTATGTAATCAATAATTAATTTATAAATGGTTTATAAAAATGTAATTTTAATATAAAAGAGCAGACAATCGAAAATCTAATCATTTTCACGTCCAGTCAATCATTCATACATTAAGTCCGCAAAACCCACACAAAAAGCCATAAAAATACTGGACATTCACATAATGGAAATCCCTATCCTTTATAGACTAACAGCTACTTCATTGAGAATCTCTGTCAGCCTCTTGAGGGAAGCATCCAATGATTGTTGCCCTCCACCTGTGGGCCCACTTCGGTGTAGAAGCGTTATGGCAGTCATATACTCAGTCAACTGAAACTGTGAGCCCTTCTCCACAATAGTTGTCAGTATCTCATCGATGGTGTGATAGAAGAGTTCGTAGTACTGACGCGCGTAGTCGAGGGCCACCTCCCGACTCATCGTAATAGTGGTCAGACTCTGTTGTATAACAAATATGTTTCGACACATCTTTTTGACGCCATTGCTGTTGATTCTCTTCAGACTATTGGCGCAATTGATGAGAATGGTGGCCACCAAATGACCGACCCCTTC